AATTAACATTAAAAATCATCTCTAGGAATAAATTCATTTTCTTTTATTCATTGCAATAACTAAACAACTTAAACAAATTGAAATAAAATATCAAGAAAAAATACAGCAATCATAAAATGCTCAATTATAAGGCCCCTAATTAACTTCAAAAATTAGAGCATGAAAAATTATTTATTAGCCTTCTAGTAGTCACGCGAAAGCAGGAAATATTTATATTGTGCATCACATTACATACTTATATTGTTCTTTTATAAATTTAAGCGCAATTTTTACTTATATAATATTTATTTAATATGAAGCTATAAATACAGATAACATAAATAAAAGCTGAATTTATTTTTGTACAACACGATATTATTATGTAATACGATGCACGATATAAGTACGTCGTAGACACGCGCGACTTCTGAAGGGTTAATTATAGTGGCGACCCGTGTTATGTAATCTTGGACGTGCTGTAACTTTTAATACTTCACTGCTCATAATGCCTATTTGTACCACTTGAATTTTTTTTCATTAACTTTGAGTAGTTTTACATTTAAAGAATAAACTTATAACGTTTCTTTCTCTTCTAATAGATAAGTATTTTATCAAATTAATTTTAATAAAAAAAATTTTAACTCGAAATTTGTTAAAGTGAAATTTTGAAAACACTTGTATCGCTGAAAATTTCTCATATGTATTTCATCACCATTTATAACTAAAAATTATCAAAAAAAATCCTTTGGATTGCAAGAAGTTTCATTCAAATTTAATTAGTGTAAAAAAACTTTTTAAATTAAATTTTTGTTTGTCATTAATTTTACTTCATTTTGTTACTTATTTTCAAAGTTTTAGCTCGCGAAAAAATTTTCTGCTGTGGTAAAATGTTTGAAACTCTGTTTCTATCTCAACTGGTGCTGCCGAACTCGACAGTTCCCCTTCAGCTTAAAAACGTGGTAGGGAAAGCCTGCGCTCTGTAACTACGCATGCGTGGAGGTGGAATTCGGTGCTGAAACGATCTTCAGTTCTCCTTTACTTTAAGTTACTTTCCCCTTTGCGCATCATCTTCGGGTAGTGAAAAATTGATATAGGGAACTTAGTTTACTGCCTCAGTTTTTCCTAGCGGCTTATTTGACTATCGAAATCGTTTAATGTAAAACTGCGTTGTATTGTTGATAGATTTAAATATTAAATGCGAAATAAAATAAATTTGCACAATAGAAAAATTTGGGGTGCTGCAGTACGGCAGTCCCTATGCACGAGACGCCCCTGGTTAATTACTAAGTTTATAGTTAGCACAATAACTAACAGCTAGCAAAAACAGAAACTGTGAGCACCTTTACACTTCCAGTTTCTTTCGTCCAGCTGATATCCCATGACGCACTTGCATTCCCTCTTCGGTCCAATGTCTTCACTCTTATCAGTGCATTTCGCTCTGTCTGGGCAATGCTTCAGCTCTTCGATGTTGCTGTACTCGTCCGAATTTCTATCACAGGGATCTGCAATTATTAACAAGTTGATATCCATTTTAATTTAAAGCAGAGGTACCCAACCTGTGATACGCTCCGTGAAATCAAATTGGCAGAAACAAGAAAACATAAGGGATTAACACTCTGACTCCTAAACCGGCCGTAACCGACCATGCGACCTCTATACTGATGAGGCGTATTTTGGCCGGTTGCTGTTCCGAAAGGGGAGAGAAGGCAGTTGGGTGAGTGATCATTAAAGGAACCCTTAGGGGAGATATAAGCGATGAAAGGCCTGCCATTCATATCTCCCACTACCCGCAGTGAGGAGAAAAGGGGGAACGGGGCGGACGAATCCATTCCACAGATCAATTAGTAAGCAAACCTCCACATACAACTGTACTCAGATTTTGAGAACTCTTAGTAGTCAGAGGGTTAAAAGAGTTAGATAATTTTGTTTCTCCAAGGGAATACTTGCTATTTAATAACTATATCACTTGAATAGTTAATTAATACGAAATGTAATTTTTAGCTATCCTTGCAAGTTAAAACGTAATAATAATAATACTCGTTTCATTTGCTTTGGCGTGGAACTAATACTATTACAAAAATGGAATCAAATGTAAAATCAAAACTAAGTTCTGCAAATGTTATTAATTCGAATCATTTCACTTTTAAGCTAACCTTAACATTATTGATGAAAACTTCCTTGCATAAACGGATGGTTGGCGGATGGATATGATTATAGGGGGTACGCAAAAACAAAAAGAATAATCAAGGGGTACACGAGGGAAAAAATGTTGGGAACCCCTGATTTAAAGCATAGGTTTCAGTAAATTTCTTTCAAATTTTGTCAAAGACACCATGATTAAGACAAAAGTGAAATTAAAATTAAATTCTCCCAAAAAAATTTTCGTGAGAAAACATCAAAAAAGCGATAGAAAATCATTTACATAACAACAGTTCCAAAAGATACTAAATGTTAAAAACGAAAATAATACTAAATTGCAAATCCAAATTTGAGAAATTGCTCCTCGGTTATCAAGTGATGAGGCCGCGGCTTTGGGGCCGGAGGGTTTCAAATTCGAAAGCTAATTCGGTCAAACATCCGCTGAGATGTGCATCTGATGCACGTTAAATCTGGCGTCGAGTATCAAACATCTCCTGCTGGAGAGGCGCGGAAGTTTGCAGAATGGGGTGCTGGTTCAAGCAATCCTCTCCATCTGACCAAGATTCAATATTAAGATGTTCGCCCAAACATTATCGTCGTGTTGCTCCGAAAACGGACATTAATATAACTAGCTTAAATAAATTTGAGAATAAAATTTACTAAAAATTTAGGCAAAATTTATTAAATACGTAATAAACTCTCGCAACATAGTGATGTAAATAGATTTCGCCATTATATTTCAAATGTTTATTAGCAAAAAAAATCTGCAACCACGTTTCGAGTTATGAAATATTGCTTATCTTAAATAAGAATATTTTTGAGAATCATTTTTTCTTTTATGTTTGCCATTTATATCATTCTTTTACCTCTCCACGTAAGAATAATTTTATTTTATTAATTATTTATTGAACTTACTTATTATCATTTTTAATTAACCGCTACTAGCTCTTAAACAAGAAAGATCTGTATAAGAATTTATTTAAAACATTAAATCAAAGCAAAAAGTATGTCATTTCGAAATTATATCTTAAATATTTGACGTGCCTACCTATATAAATTACCAAATGAAATGTAATACGACTTTTTGAAATGAAAAAAAATGCAATAAGCAACAAAGGAATTTTACGAACTTAAATATGAGAAATGTGCATTAAAAAAACATCTCGGCATTTTTCAGATCATATCATTCATAATTAAATATAAAACCAAATTATCTTGCTTAATGAAGCCAATTCTTTCTACCTAATAAAATGCAAATATGTGATAATTAATTTATCATGTTCGTAATTTTATCATTAAACAAAAGAAATATTATCTTCCGACTTCGGTTTTTCTAACTCCCGTTAATTATTCTTGTTAATCATGAAGAATTTTCATCTTTTGATGTTACTTGGATAAATATACTTAATTAGATAATGAATTATCTCTAATATCTGCGTCTTCGTAATTTTTTTTCATATCAAAAAAAGTGTTGAATATTCATTCAACAGAATACACGACTGAATCGCAATGATACGACTACCTCTCAACTTTGATATCAGTGACACATACAATAAAATACATGTCACTAATACGGTTCATTTTATCTAAGATGAGATGAAAAAACGCACTTTTAGCATAACAACCAATAAGCTCAAGCATAAAATTTGTAGTTAGACATTAAGGTGTCTTTTCTTGTACCCCCGGTTGGGTAGGGAGACGTCACTTTCTCCGCACGTTAACAACGGGAAAAGTGACGTCTCCCAACCCAACCGGGGGTACCAGAATAGACCCCTAAAGATTGGTTTAGTTATATTAACGTCCCATTTTGAAGCAACACGAGGGCTATTTTGGGACGCGGATCTCGTAATTTTGAACCACGGTCAGATGACGATGACGACACCTGAGATGGCATCCCCTCTCCAAACTTCCGCGCCACACCAGCGGGAGGACGTTTGGCCACTGCGTATGATTTAGGGGTCTATTCTGGTACCCCCGGTTGGGTTGGATTCCGTTGTTAACATGCGGAACCCAACCCAATCCGTCATTAGAGGTCTATTCTCCCAGCCCAGCCGGGGGTACCAGAATGGACCTCTCAGCGTGCAGCAGGCACCATACGCAGCGGATCTTCGGTGGAATCTGGTTTCGAACCTGCGACCCTCCAGTCCCGAGGTCGAGACCCTACCACTAGGCCATCTCGGCCTCCAATAGTACTGTACAATAAAACTTCGATTAACCGTCAGGTTCTGTTATCCGTCATCGTCTAAATTACGCATAATGTACATTTCTGTACATTACTATCCTTATGTCGAAGTTTATATTGATCGTTTTGTGAAATTAAATGCAATATGAGTGTATTATTCACCTTGAAAAGATCTTATTTTCATTTTCGTCCAAGCCAGCAGTGAAATCACGTTACAACACACATGTGTTAAGAGTTTTCTGTTATCCGTCTATTCGGTTATCAGTCACAGCCCTGGTACGGATGGTGACGGTTAATCGAAGTTTTACTGTATTTTGTTTTATTGTTTTGTCTTTCTTAGATTAACCCCTTAAACGTCGCACCCGTCATTTTGGCGTGCATCGAATTATCGCATTTTTAGGCTTATAATCTAAATTTTAATCATTAATTGGCTTTATAATTTAACAGAAAAACTACGTAGAATCCATCAGCATCTCAAGTATTCTATGCCTTCTTAGATGAATGAAAATGACAGCCAAAACAGGAGGGGTCATCTTATTAGATAGCAAAGAAAATTCGACTCTTAACTGTGCCTACCCTAAAATCGTCGCTTTCATGAAAATTTTCGATATTTTTTTCATTATTTTCTATTAAAGCCCATACATTATACCAGGTTTTTATATTGTTTAGCAGTACAATTTTCAATGTTATGAATAAGCATGGAAAGGTGGCTGAGTGGTCTAAAGCACACGCTTGGAAAGCGTGCACATGTGAAAATATGTCGGGGGTTCCAATCCCTCCTTCTCCGCATATCACTTCTAGAATGGTATAAAACCCTCGGTCGTGCGCACAACTCTATTCCTATAGTGAGTAGCTCCCTCCTATCTCATTTATATCATATTTTTAACAACCTGAATACTAAAGATGTCATAGATAAAATATATGAAGTTATTAAAGGGTCTGAGTTAAATAGAGATATAAATGAAGTAGTAGATGGAAGAAAATTAGATTTACTTAACATCTTAGCAAATCCAAAGAGAGAACCAATATTTGAAACAGAAGAAGATTTTGAAAATATTTAGGATTTAACAAGGATAGCAGAGAGGCGGTTCTGCACGCTAAATTCAATTGAGCGTTTACTGGACTCCAAAAGGTAGCGAACGTAAAAATTCGCCTTTTCGATCTTTTAGAACCGAAAAACGCTCCTTAAAACACTATTATAGTCAAAAACTAGTTTCGACTGCTTACTCGCCACAAAAGTGATAACAGAATCTGAATACTTTTTTTCTTTTAGGAGCGTTTTATAATTACCGTTTCGTACACCTGGGGGTGTTCGAAAAATCATTGGTTAAAAATCATCACGTGACGATTTGGCGCCTTTTCTTATCTGTGTTTACACAGACCCGATAAGATTGGGTGCCATTTTTTTTAATTTTTGGAAGCGATCTTCATATCTGTGGAAATACGTTACAATGTATTGAAGTTAAGAAGATTTGCTTTATGGTGAGTTTACATTTTCAAATTCTAAAATTGCCCTTTATCGTATTGCAAAGTCAGAAATCTGTCCAGATATTGTTTATATGATTGATATTATATTTATGCACATTCTGCAAAATCTTTGTTAAATGACCTGCCATTCTGAACATATCCCTGACATATGTTATAATTGAATGCAAATTTGAAAATTCTTGAGACATTAAAAATAATAAGAGATATCTTCATCCTGAATACATTGTTTTATGACACTTTATTTTTAGAAAATTATATGTCATTAACGATTATCCATTAGGAAGTACAGGAAGAAATTTAAAATGAAATTTGGTATCGGCTGTGAATACATGTGTTAATGTTTAAGTTGATTGTAGCAGTAATAGATAAAAGAATTTTAAAGCAAAAACTTGTGTCCCCCAATTTAAAAAAAATTAAACTGATAGTGAAATGAAATGTATAGTGTTTATTAATTCTTCATTATTTTAGTATTTTGGACATAGTTTAATAATTAGAAAGTATCTACAGTTTCCATAAATATTTTTTTGATTTATGTGTTTATTTTATTTGGGATAAAATGTGTACTAGTCAGAATAACTTCCATTAATAAGTTTTTGAAGTACAACTAAGGGAGAAAAAAATTGCAAAATTTAATTTGCCTGTCCACAAAATGCTTGTGTTTGTCTGACTATTCTAATTAAAGTTTAGTTATCTAAATTATATCTAATACATATAATATAATTAACATTATATCTATGCACATTCTGCAAAAACTTTGTTAAATGAGCTAATTCCTTTTTGAACATAACTGACATATATTATACTTGAATGCAAATTTGAAAATTCCTGAGACATTAAAAATAATAAGAGATATCTTCATCCTGAATACATTGTTTTATGCCACTTTATTTTTTAGAAAATTATTTATCATTATAGATTATCCATCAGAAAGTTCAGGAAGAAATTTAAAATAAAAATTATCTTTATCCAATATATTAATTACATTTATTTTTATTTATATTACTTATTATATTTTTATGTATACATTTTTAGAATGTTAATGAGAATTTCTTAATCAATCTGGATTTCTTCTTATAGATTTACTTTCCATTGAGATATTAAAATTCTATGTTTTGTCTCCTATTGATATACAAGTTACCTAACTGATCAAGTCATTTACAAGCATAAAACTAGTTTTTATTTTTATTAATTGTGCACTGGGATGAGTGTTTTTACTTTAATTTTTCCACTATTAGAATATTTGAGGGGGGAGGGGGTGCAGTAGATTATTTTGGGTACAATTAGATTTTTCCATTTCTCTCGCATCTTCATACTTCCCTATAAGCTTCCCTCTACATGTTGAACTCGGTGCTGTAGGGTAAATATCTTTTAAGAAATATGATATTTTTTTAAAATTTTTGATTTTAGGTTATGCTATTTAATCATCGACACTGACATCTATAAAATGCCTTGGTATACTTGCTTCAAATGCTACAAAGTTGTTGCAGATAGATTCTCTGAAAAAATAGATGGTATGACTGAATAAACAAAATTGATTTTTTTTTCATTGCACAATAGTAATGAATTTGCTTTAGAAAGTTATACAATGCATAACTTCTTTACTAAATATCATGGTTTTTTTCTTAGAAATATAACTGTGTTTATGTGAACTAATTAAAAATTATCATATGTTTAGGAAAATCCATCTATTTAATATAGCTGCAAATGCTTTGCAACTTATACTAAAAAATTACACACAATTTTTTATGAATAATTTTATTTCTCGCATTCATAAAGAGTTAACTTTTGCATTAGTTTAAAATTTTGCATGCCATTGCTTGGTTACTAACTAAAGGATCTTACTGTAACTTTTATATAACAGTTATTTTTAATTACATTTGGAAGGTTACTAATTGAGGTCATACTTCATAGTTTAATTGTTATGCCTTTGTTTTTGTCTAAGGTTTACAGACAAATTTATTAAAAGCTCTATTTATAGGGGATATTATGGTTTGTAGTGGACTTGAAAATATTTGTTTACACTTTTTTTTTTTTTTTAGAAAATTTATCAGCATTGCTAATGCTTGCAGAGTTGTTCCCAGTAACTGGCCCAAGAAAGAAAAAGGTAAATTTTTGTTATTCTATCTTAATTTTAAGAGATTTTATAGAATTTTAAACACACACACACTTTCAGAATAATCAAAATAATTTTCAAACTCAATAATCATTGTTGCATTGACGCTGTAATTACACGACAGCAAAACATTGCGAGCTGTTCCCCAATGTCTGCTTTCCATTTACTGTAGTTATATGCATCATACAGTTGTACCAAACATGAAATGTCAATGAACAAGAAAAAGTTTTCTAGAGGTCCCATGATATACTTCAAAATAAAAAGTTAAATATTATATAAAAATTTGCAAATATGTGTGCGAAACAAATGGATGTGTGTCTCATCTTAAAAATGACAACTATCAATAGAATGGTGTGGGGAGTATGTGGCAAGACCCAATTCCATAATTTGTTCAAAAAGTTTATTAAAAACCCTTTTTCACTGTTCTGTATGTAAGAATAATTAAACCACTAGTTTGTAAAAGACATTTACATCAAATTTTTAACTTTAAATGTTTATATGGAAACAAAAGCTAATTGTTAAAAAATTCTGTTTGAACAATGCCCTTCACTATGTTGCAGAAATTTTTCTTTAATTAAATAATTTATTTAGCAGGTTTCAGGAGATCAGTGGTTCAAATTTCCCTCTTATGCCCTATTCAGATAC